TACAAAAATTTTAATTTTTTTAAATGGCAACCCACTAGAAAACCATTTTTCTCATAAAAATTATGATCTAAGAATTATAACTACCTACTTTAAAAAAATTACATAAATTGCAATTTTGACAAAAAAATCGCCATAACACTAAAACAAAACAAAATTTCGTTCTCACACATTTTTTTATATTACTCTAATTWATATTAATTATTATTTTCTGGAGACAAATGAAAAAAAACGCTTGGTTCACCGTGTATATCTGCCCTGTTTGATTTAATTTTTCATACACAGAGAATTACTTCTTTGGGGATTGACATTCTCTTGCCAGTAAGCTGCTTACCAAACATGGAAGTTTAAACAGCAAACTCTTGTAACACGCAGCTTAATCGAATCGTTTTAAAAGATTAAGACATTTTTCATCTAACAATTATTCCAGAATGAGCTCATAAATATTTCCAAATCCGACTTTGAAGTTTCACACTGTGTCAGTGTTGGGCAAGATTTCAAAAASACATTGTTTTGATTGGTCAGGGTTTTCCAATAGATAAACACAATAATTTTCTTTAGTGAACAAATATAAAGTAACTGGCTAATATCCTCGAGCGGCACATCAAAGCACATCTTTGTTCTCTTATTTTGAAAGAGTTTCTCAGTGGTCGTCTGCTGCGAATTTCCTCATTCCTGCATGTGTGGACCTAATAAGTAGCTCCTTTTGAATAATTTAAACGTCCCCAAGGCACGACCAATAATTCAAGTCGATTTTTCTATCCATGTGCCTCAAGGTCCCATTTGATGACTTAATCCAAGAAAGAAATAAAATGTGTTTTGTATAGCGGCTTTTCCGCGAACGCGATAATATAATAACGTGTGTTGCAAAGAAGTCGTCCACGGTGGCCAAAGGCTGTAGGTCAAACACTGATTGTGCTTCGTATAAATAAAAGTGACCGCGCGCTTTAATCACTAATAAATTATTTACGAGCGTTGATAAAATGCGAGCGTCTCAATTTATTTTGCTATTTATAAAAGTGCATCGGGGTACCACCCAGTTTTGCCTGCGAGAGCTGTAAATGTTAATTCGATTATAAGATACTCTGCCAACTGCTACTGCATGCTTTTTACTTTGAAATTTCGCTCGGGATGGATCATTTAAAAGCGATTTGTTTCACTCAGACTAATCGCATTTTTAATGAAGGGAGATATCAAGAGAAGCTGACTCAAACTTCTAAATTTAGCGGAATTATTTAACTAGAAATTTCGATTCACTATTTTTGATAACATTAAAATTCAGTGAAATGCAATGTTTTGTTTTAAATTTTATTAAAACTTGTAAATTTTAATTAAAAAAATGATTGCAAGACATTCAATTTATTAATTTGGGAGCCAAATAAAAGTCAAAAACAAGAAATAAGTCTTCTAACTTAGTGAAAAAAATATTAAAATACTAAATTAAAATTTAAAATTCACATTTTGACATACGATTTTATCATAGTTAAAAATTAAAAAGATGTCAATTTTTGAAGAGGAGTTCCTCTTCTATTAGCGCAGTTACCATACATAACCAGTATGTATAACCATCAATACAACCGCTGACTCATAAATGTCATGACGCCTTTTTTAGGTAATTGTTTTATAACCAGGGTTAGGTTCAGAGAATTTTTTTATAACTATTATACAGGGTGATTCATCTCAGCTCCGGTCTTCTGTAGCTCAGTTATGTAGGAATTTTGATATTTTGTAGACTTTATTTATATTCTAGAGGGCATTTCAGGAAAATATTTTTGATTATACAGGGTTGCCTAAAAATAAGTTACAACACAAACTTATGTTTTTTTAATGAAACACCATGCTTCTTGGCATTTTTGAATATAGCTTTTAATTTCAATAATTTTAAGATAAACTTTTATTAGTCGATTTTGCTTAGTTTTTGAATTAAGTTGTTTTTTTTGGCATCCTCTTTTTAAAATTTTTATTACACAAAAAGTTAAGACAGCTAGAAAAAAATACCACTGTAAAGAGGAAAGTACAAAGTTTAAGACTATTAATATTTTTTTAAAGTATTGCAGTCGAAAAGTTAAAAAAATGTCGAAGTTTTTTAAAAGTTAAATAACTTAAAAAATTGAAACACCTTATTTTTAGTTTCTGCATCTAGTAGATTAGTAAATGATCTTTTCAAAAACATTTACTTTTAAGTGTCTGCAATTAATAACTTACAAGATATTTAACTATAATCATTAAAAAAAAAATCACTATTTCAATAGCCAAAAAGTGCACATTTGCACTAGAGATAGAAGAAATATCACTCAATAATCACTTTTATGTTACACTTAATCCGTTCTTCTTTATTTTTACAATAAAACAATTCGAATTTCAATGTTTATGTAGGCTTTCACAATTTCTGGACGAATCCCATATAAGTGATCAGTGGTGGAATTTTAAAATGATAGGCATTGTCGCTACAATTAACATTTAAAATCAAATATTTTTTAATTTATCAATACTAGACATCAAAAGTTGATTTTTTTTAAATAGACAATTTATCAGTTTATGAGATGCAAAAATAAAAAATAGGGTGTTTTATTCAAATTTTTTAAGTTATTTAACTTTTAACAAACTTCGACATTTTTTTTAACTTTTCGACTGTAATACATTAAAAAATGTTTTAGTTTCAAAGTTCGTACTTTCCTCTTTACAGTGGTAAAAATTTCTTCTTCCAGCTGTCTTAACTTTTTGTGTAATTAATATTTAAAAAGAGAATGTTTTCGCCAAAAAAACGACCTAATTCAAAAATTAAACAAAATTGACTAATAGAAGTTTAGCCTAAAAACATTGAAATTAAAAGTTACATTCAAAAATGCCAAGAAGGTGTTTTATTTAAAAAAAAACATAAGTTTGTATTGTAACTTATTTTTGGGCTACCCTGTATAATCAAAAATATTTACCTGAAATGCGCTCTAAAATATAAATAAAGTCTACAAAATATCAAAATTCCCACTTTAATAATAACTGAGCTACAGAAGAGCGGAGCTGAGATAAATCACCTTGCATAGTTAAATTAGAATTTTGAAATTTTGTAGACTTTAYATTCTACAGCCTATTTCACGAAAATATATTTTTGATTATACAGGATGTTCTAAAAATTTAAATGATACATTTTTTTAATGACATCCTATTATTTTTGTGCTGCCTTTTCAGTTATTTACATATCCCCAATATTTTTTTCAAATCGATGTAGGCATTTCTGTA